ACGGCCCAGTCCCGGTCTACATCCTCAGGCCTCAACAGGAAACAAAGACCGAACTGACGACACAGCTGTAGCGCTCCAGTGTCTGAGTTTGTTAGAGTTTAAGGTATGAAGGAGGAAGAGGACACACTGTAGTGACAGCACACGTTGCTCAGTGAGTGTGAAGCGACTGAAAACATGCTTTTATCTTTCTTTCATGTGGAGACACATGAACAAGACTCGGTTTAAGAGCAGCTGAAGTTCTGTTAGTCACCGTAGACGTCAACAAACTGCATGTAGCTCTGATGTCGTCACCACAAAATACATCATGTTGGATTTTTTTTCACAATAAACTGTTTAAAAAGTCTAAAGTCATTGATTTCACACAACACAATGAACGCATCTGTGTTTATTTCAGTGGTTAAACATTTACAGTCATGTGCAGAAGTCAGTAAACATCCAGTGTGTTACACTCTTTATATTCATTATGGTAGTAGGAATTAAACCAGCTGCAAAGTTTATGCTCATTAAATGTAAAAGTGTTTTTTTTGTTCATATAAATTACAGTTGTCAAAGTACATGAGACACGTTGGACTCTTTATACATGAAGCCATCTACAGAAAAATACATTTACACCAAAATCTCCTTAGAGAGCAACCAGCTAGAGGAGTATAAATACAGCAACACTTTAAATTACAACTAACAACTTAGATAAAGAAAATAAAAGGGTTATAAACAGTTCATGTGCCACTGGAAGAGTTTACATGTGAATGCTGATTATAGTGGTCCACTAACGAGGGGCTGAGCTCAGTTAGACTGCGCTGTCGGTCAATCGGGGGTTTTTACACGTTACACAGGAAACGATGTGGCTGACGCTGACCTAAATGTAAATTAAACAGTTCAGTCAGTGTTATTATTGCAAAACAACAACCTAGATTTCATTTAACTGATGCTGCACTGGGACACAAGTTTGAAAATGAGTGAAGCTCGTTCATTTAAACATAAATGAATTTGTTTTTTCACTTAAAGGACAAAGATCATGTTTTTCTTTGCAAAATGCTCTAAAAGACCAAAGCATCCAGTGTGTCAGTCAGTTTCTTATTTTTAAGGGAAATAACTCCCCGACCTTAACTGAAACCCTCGCTTCCTACTGAGGGAGTAAAAGGTTTCATGCACACAGTTGTCTTACAAGTTTCCTTTACTGATAGCAAACTGCAACAGGTTATTTTGGGGACTATTTTCAGCAGATTAATACACATTTGGCACTTTAGTTAGGACGGTACGAGTGTGACTGACTGACTCAGCTGTGAAGAAACCTGCCACCTATACGACTTGGTGGTACATTATAGAGGTTGTTAAGAGATTTGGAAGAGAAGTGGACATCTTTGGCTTAAAGGAATAAGTTATACCAGGCTTTGGCTAAGCAGGCAGAAGGTCAGATGAATCTACTCTGGGTCTGTTCATGGACTTTGTTGACAGTAAAACATATATAATATGGTCACATCAATCCTTTAACTAAGCTCAGCAGAATCCTGAAAGTTAGTTTCACTTTTAAATCACCATTCTGGAGGTTCATCATCCTCTTTAGTAAAGAAATGTTTTACCTCAACATCCATCATCTATACACCGATTAATCCTCACTCGGGTCGCGAGGGGCTGGAGTCTACTGATAGACAACCAAGCACACTCACATTCACACCTACGGACAATTTAGAATCACCAATTAACCTCAGCATGTTGATGGAAATAATCCACAGGTTAAGAGCATGACTGAATCTCCTCACAGAGCTCTGCACAGGATGGTCAGAGGGACTACAGGAAGAACGGCAGTGACAGACTTTGAGACGACGTCGTTCTGCTGCTGAATATGTGAACATTTACCAGGTGTGGTGATAAATGTGCAGGTACATATACCACAGGCCTTAAAACGGTGTTGGTATTTATTCACAGAAAGCATAAACTAATGGCTCCTACAACGTTTAGAAACTTCAGCATGGCGGCAAAACGCTTAAAAACATGGACTTCTGTCAACAGATTCTCGCCGTATAAAAGCCTCTTAAAACCGAGAATTTAAAGTTAAAAGCTTAAAAGTATCATCATGTCATCGACGCTAGCATGCTAATGGACACCAGTCACACACAGTTTGGAAGCATGTTGTCCTGTTGCGTACTGGTTAAGGCCCCACGTCCATCTAAAGCTACAACAATCATCCAGAAGCTGAAGAATGCACCTTAACAACTAAAACGCAGCTTCGACACACAGCAGGTGGCAGCAGGAACAGTCAGTTCTCTCCCTTCAGTTTCTGTGTGACGCACTTGATGCGGATGTTTTCTCGGAGGTTGCGGAGGCGAGCGCTGCGACTCGTGATCTCCTCCACGTAGGTTTTGGGGAACCAGCCCCGCTCCCCGTCCGACAGCCGGATGCCTTCCACCCAGCCTGGTGACACACAACAACACAACAACACACATCTTATGGACACAGATTATGCTTATTTAGGTTCAGGTTGAAGCTGGAATGCACTTTACCGTCACATGTGATGGTCTTAGCGTGAAGGATGTCGGCTTTTTCCAGTGTTAGCTCGTCGTGCTCTTGGGCCTGGTAGCTTTTGATGCACTGAACCTGGGATATGTCTGAAAGGAAAGGCCACAACAACAAAGGGATGAATGAGAGGATGAAGAGGTTTACACTGATCCACGGTACACATGTGAACCTCCACTGACCCTCATTCTCGCTGGCTTGCTCGATGTCTTCGCGTGGGTCCGACGGAAACATGGCCGTGATCCATCTCTGCTTCCCGCTCCTTGGTGGACACAAAGCCAACAAGGCCAGTTAGAGCAACCTGAAGCATCCAGCTGTGATCGAAGCAAAATCACCGCAGGAAAAAAAAACGTCTGGACAGAACGCTGTTACTCACTCGGTGTGTGACTTCAGCAGGATCTGGTGTTTGAGCTGCGGGCCTTCACACAGCTGCAGGTGGAAGATGAAGCCTGAGATGCCTTGAAGCTTCTGACTGAGATCCTTGACTTTCAGCTCTCCTATCTTGGCGTGCACAAACACCATGAACTTCCACGTACTGCAACGGAGAAAGACGTCATTTTANTGATTGTTGGTCACAGATGACCGACTAAAGCTTCCTGGTTCTCCAAGAAAACTATTTTGTTGTTTTTACAGAATCTCGTTGGTGTGAACTATTTATTTTTGGCCCTTTTTTTTTTAAAAGAGACAAGTAGCTTTGATAAAATATCCCAATTTTTAAGCTTAGATTTGGTTACGTTCCCTGAAGAATGTGAGAAACTTCAAAATCCAACAATTTTCCTAGTTTCTACAGGAAAAAGGTGAACTGTATTTCAAGCCTGCCGACATGTTTTGGGGTCCAGGTGGTTAAACAGACCTTAAAAATAAATTAAAATCCCTCAGATTCAATAATATATAGAAAGTCCTGATGCATTTGTTCCTTTAATGCAGGCATCACGCCCCCCTGGTTGTGCAACAGTTTGCTCCAATGCAGAGGTTTTCTCCAGTAAAACTAAATGAACGCATGGCTCGTTAATCAGGGAAACATATGTGCAGGATAAATACGGATGTAGGCAGTGGCATGAAGAGGTGACCACGGGGCCACCCACTTCGCTCACGTGATCACATCAGCCCCGTCCTCCAACATCTCCACTGGCTCCCTGTCAAACATCATGTTCAAGATGCTCCTCCTCACCCACAAAGCCCTCCATCATCTGGCCCTCTCCTACCCCACAGACCTGTCCCACACCCCTTCCCTCTGTCCTTCTCTGCTCACCTCCTCGTCCCACCACCAAGGACCAAGCACCCAACCTTGGGGGGGACAGAGCCCTCTCTGCTGCTGGACCTCCTTCCATCAGACACTGCTCTGACCTCCACACATTCAAGTCCCTTTTAAGACTCACCTTTTCAAGATCGCTTTTTTTTTTTAACCTGACTTCTATACCTTGCTTTTTTAAAAAAAATCTGTTCTTTATTCAACTTGTTTTGTTCCTGTAAATGTATTATTATTATTATTATTACTACAAAAGCTAACAGAAGTCTAACATAGAGCTGATGCCTCTCTGTGCCTGTAGGTGGTGCTGTGGGGCAGGAGCAGAGACGAACTCCACCACANTCGGACTACTGGACTTTATGTAGATCATAGAAAATTTCCTCAACACTGCGTTTGTGTCCAACAGCATCCACCGGCTTCCTTTATTTTGAATTTAAAAACATGATTTGCTTCTGTTTTCTGTAATTAAATGAATTTAAGCCTTCATTCTCAGATTATGCATGTGGAAAACACATTCATCAGTCATCTTACACGTTGTTGCGTCACTTCACAGAAACAGAGAACAGCTCTTGACCTGTGGAAAAACAGAAGTGCACCACCGTACTGTAACTCTAACCGGGCAGATCCGCTCTACAGCCGCTGCAGCTTGTTTTGACTGCAGCACTCTGTCAAAACTTGTAATTATCTCACTTGACAATCCATATTCAGGCTCAGCAGATGTAAACACAGGCAGGCAAGGCCCCGTCTTTCCTCATTTCCACGCTTCTCTGGGAGTTTGTCTGGTCGGCATGCAGAGGTGCGACGCTGCTCACCCTCATGTGGTCAAGCTGCTCTCCAGTGACGAGGCAGCCACTTTTTATTTGTCATGCTGAGGCGTCAGCAGGTTCCCGGCGTGGGTTCAGAGCGTAAAACTGAGGAAGCTGCTCAGTCCTCTGCAGACAGCCAACTGACAGGAAGGAAGGAACAACCACTGCACCGCCGCGACTCAACTAAAACTTCAACTCCTCTTCAAAAGCGTGAACATCTTTGACCCTCCGGGCTCTGTGGACGTCTACGCTGCACGCTGGCCAAGACTTGGAGCTTACCGGCACCCCTCCTCCTCCTGCAGCCCCTCTCCAGCACCCAGACACCCCCCGTTTTCATGCTGCCTCTCTGGTTTTAATGTGGCATCCTGCTCGGGGGATTGCCCAGGCAGATGGTGCCCAGCGCCGGCACTAGAAGCTGAGACGGAGCTCAGAGGGACACACACTCCTCATCTGTCATGGGATGCTGCAGCGTGACCCAGAGGCACACCGGAGTGGACGAGGTGGGCCCGGACGAGATCGAGCTCCTGGAACTCTCTGGAGACAATTTGGGGTGAGACAGAAGTGCACATTTACTATTTAAAGCTAGAAGATGTTCACATAGAGAGCTGCTGAGAGGACCTGACTCTGAACCTAAATACTACAGTGATATCAGCAATGTGGATTTGAGTCACAGTTTTCTATCTCTTAGCTTGATTTAAGTGCGGTTTCGTGAGTTCTGGAGGAGGAAGCGGCGACGGCCTGTGAAGTGAGAAGAACTTCATCCTGTCGCTGCTTCTCTTTCAGCCTCTGTGGTTTTCGGTGGCATTTCATGTGTCACGTATGAAACGCAGGCGCCTGTTTCAAAGCGACGTGTACAGACTGTATGTGATGAAAACATGAAGTTATAAAGCATCACGAACATCCGTCTGATAACTTCATGGGACGGGGGAACTATTTGGCTCCGATTAGCCAAACATGAACTTGGGAACTCAGTGATGCTGCACTGATGTGATTATCAGATTACTTTGAGACAATGGCTGGAGCACGGAGGGCTCTAATGCCGGCCGAGGGCGGGACAAATCCCCCGCTCAGTTTAAGGCTGGAGGATTAGCAGAGGCTAATCACAGCAGCAGCAGCCACCGGGCCTTATGTGTGGCTGCTTCATAATTACTCCTTATGTCTGCATGATGCTCCAGTTTGTTTTGCCCAACATGTTGTAAGATGCACACACATCTAGTCAGGTGTGTGTATGCTGTGGTGTTATGATTTTAACCCTGATAACATGCAACAAAACAAAACATTTGCACACAGAGGAAATGATGCAACTGATCAACATCCTTCAAAGTGTGAAACTTGGAGCCAGACTGCTCACGAAAAAGCAGAATCTATTTCCAGGAATGTGTTTTGCTTCGTTAACTCGTCTCACTAACGATGCTGTTCACACGTAACTACACGACTGTCACCTGTTTCAGTTCAGCTGATTCCGTTTTGAGTCACGCTCCAGATATTGATCCTCCAAACTGAGCGGGACATCTGTTAACAGGAGGATTTACAAAAAGGGGCCCTCACAGGACCAACGCTTACTGAGAGGCAGCAGCGGGTCGATTAGAAGCACACTGAGGAACAGTAATAAGAATAATAATAATATAGAAATGAGCAGCTCCGTCCTCTCTAGCATGACAGACAGCATGACACAGCTTGAACTCCCTGTAGTGAGCTACAAAAACACTGGTTCAGGGCTGAGCTGGTGGTTTGTTTCAGCTGTAATCTGATTATTTGTGGCTGCTGCTGTGGCTACAAGACCTTCATGTTGTTCTATTGAGAGCTGCAGCCGCCCAAAGCCAAACGC